ACATAAGCATGAAACAATTCTTAATATGTATTGCTAAATAAGATTTAGTTATCAACTAACTAAGAATTCAACAAAGCATAAACACAATGCCAATTATAGAAATTATTTTGTAGCATTGTTCTCAATTCTTAGTTAGTTGATAACTAAATCTTATTTAGCACTACATAGTTAAGAATTGTTTCATGCTTATGTGACTTGCACTCTATATAAGTGAAATTATTTAAGCATCTAAAAGTTWGCAATAGACTTGGCGATTCTTTGGAAAAAATCATCATTTMGTAGGGGGCATGAATGCCAAACATGGAATTAGGAACCTCATCCTCTTTTTTTCAYTTTCATGGTTCTGAGGTAAGGGAATAAGGGAAGGTACGTTTATTATTCGGGGGGAGGGCTGGAGTGGGAGAGGGGAGGGTCATATAGCATTTTTGAAAGCTTTAGGGGAGGGTCACATCTTCACTCGAAAGCTTATCTAGGAGAGGATCATCCTAGTTTTTAGGTTTTAGCTAACAAAAAATGTTATACCATCGAGTAGATTTTTCATGGACCGACATACTGTATAGGGTTCCATTGAGTACGCACGTTTCCTTCCCAATGCGTACTTCCGTACTTATTGCGTCCATGTACCAGCAATGGAAACCAATACTCTGAGTAAAAATAAACTAGCAAATTATTTGTTGAAACGCCGAAATTTGGCCTCAAACATTTATCTTCGAAATTGGTAATATTAGAAAACCAATCACATGACAAAAACCKCAGGACAGCGAAGTCAAAGCACAGAGATTCCGTCCAATTTTGTCATTGCTTCTACTACACGTTTGCACGTCCGGGAAATCGATTTGCGAAAGATAAAAAGCAAATTGCTTTCGAGCGAWTTGAGAGTCACTTTTTAGGAAAAAGGAAAACAGGATGACTTTTCGCTTTGATCAGTATCGACAACAAGAAAAAGATTATCGGAAATGCTGCAAAAATATGGGGAAAGTCAGCACCGARCWGTGTGAACACTTTTTTCATCAAACCTTTAGGTGGCTTGCTTTACCCATCCCATTAGTGTGAATAATAGCGTTCTTTTTTCTGCAAACTTTGGTATAGCCTGAGACTTGTGAGTGTGGGGTGGGGGGAGGTCCATCAGTATTTTTGGAACTTTTGAGGGGAGGCTCAAAAGTTTAGTTTTAGAATTACTGGGGAGGGTCACACAGTCTTATTGAAAAAATTACTCTGAAAACTCCAGCCCTCCCCCCCAGTATTAAACGTACCTTCCCTAATTAGGAAATTACGATATATGATATCCCTCACCTGTCAGTAGCTACATAGATTTTACTAACAACATCAAAGAGAAATGCCTTCTCAATACCAGAATTCTAAAAACAACGGCAATTATATAGCAATCATAACAATTACTACAGTAAGGCAGCATCAAGTTTGCAAGTAAAATACATTATCGTTTAGTTTACAAATATTCATATTCCATGTATCAGGATAAAAAGTCTGTGGCTGCCTCGTGTTTATAATCAAATAATTATGTCATAATAAAATAAATATGTCATAATAAAATAAATATGTAATAATTATGAGAGGAAACTAGCTTTTTATGTCATGTCTTTGCTAGTTTCCTCTCGAGCACTTTACCGTTAGCTATGTATATWACGTGTACTAACAACCTTGAAAATGGCCGCTAAGGCCGAAAGCTTGAAGAATAAAAAACCTTAAATACGMRGAAGAAACAGTCTTCATTTATAAATTAATGTTAGATTTACGGTTTAGTCACATACATGTAGCAGTTGCTAAAAAAACGATATATGACATGGAGTTGTCGATAGGACAATAGACTTAATTGGCTAACGCGTTGCTATAAACGTTTCCACCCAATTCAAACCACCCGGGAGTAAGTTTTATTGTCCATTGTATTTTCATTTCACAGTTGAATTCTTAGCAACAAAAGTTCTTTTCCCCACAGGATTTGAATTGGGTGGTAACGTACATGGCAACGCGTTAGGCGATGGATAGATGATAAAAGATTTGTGGAAGCCACTAGAACAGTATACTAAGATCAACCAATCAGTGACTTTATGTAGAGGCAGGAAAAAATCTTGACCGAAGAAAAGTTAATAAAAAYGATTAAAACATATACATGCATGCGTAAATAAAATAAATTGGAGAAATGCCACACAACTTGTAACTTGGTTTCCATTCTTTAATGAACGTTTCGGGCATTCGCCCTTCTTTAGCAAACTGAATACTTTGCACGTGCCATTGMTAATAAAACAAAATTCTAGAAAAACAGCATTATAAAGTACATTTATTCATTTCTTACCATAATAAGAATATTTAATAGGTTTTCCAAGGTTGGCAGCTGAGGCACAAGTTTTTGGACGACTTTGCTAAATGCCTGAAAATTGTCRAGAATCAAGAAATATTTAGCAAAAACACAATAAATGAATAAGTATAAAATACTATATCAAAATGTAAATTATTCATCCAGTTRTTACTATTTAGAAAACGTTGAGTCAATTACTGGATTGAGTAATTGACTCAACGTTTTCTAAATACAAAATACTATGTTATCGTTCATACTTTTCATGGATTACTATAGGTAACCATATGGTTTCCAGATCATCAGAAAGTGTCAAAATTGTAAGAGCAATCTACACTGATCACAGTTTGTTTTTTTAAGGTGTACATCACGAGTAATTTCAAAAGTGTAATTGATGATGACATCAGCAGGTAAATTTACAACTCTATGGTGCAATCMTTCTCATAATAAACATATCATATCAACGAAAGGCAAAGTGCTTACTACATCCTAGAGGAGATCCTACCTCAAAAATAGAATGGTCATATATACTTGTAAGGTAGAAGCTAAAATCAAATCAAATTCAACTGTTAGAAATTTAACAGAGACTTATTATGCTGGGCAAGAATACCATTCACCATATATACAATAATATAATGAGGCAGCCGACCATCTGGCGGGAATGGCAGAACAATTCGGTCACATCACTTTTTACCAGCAAGATATTACAAATCGACTGAAAGAAAACTTGAATAATGACAACGCACCAAAGAAGACCTGGTGGTCGTTTCAAAGAATGAAAGAAAGGGCAATTAAATTTGGTGATGGAGGACGAAAGACAACCCGACTAAGTAACACTA